TTAACCCTATGGTCACATGCCCAAACATGGTCCCAAGGTGGCAAGGGTGTTTGGACTAACTACAAGGAAGGTTTGGGTGAGGTCAAATAGTTGACTTGGTCATGAGGCAAAGGGTTAGATGTATCATGAAGAGGAAAAATCTATGTGAAGGAGGGAGAGGGATTGGTCACCTCCTTTTACCATTTTTGGCAATTTTGATTTTATGAAGTTCATGGATGACTCCATGAGACATGCCATGTTATGTATGAGCCCATGGAAATTTTTCATGCAAAAAAAATTTAAGAATTTTAATGCATTTAAATGGAAAAGACAACATGCCGAACTTTGGATAAAACCTCATGTGTATACATGGTATGGTTGTCTTCATGCAAATGATAAATATTTAAATTAAGATGGGATGATGAGGAAGAGATTTTATGTCATGTGGGCTCAATTTGGGCCTTTTAAAATTAATGTCATGGGCTTTTGAAAATGCATACGGGTACGGGCTTTTAAAGTATGCATGAAGGACTTCAATTAAAATTAACCATCTGCTAATCAAATTGGGCTTGGGTTTGATTGAAATTGAGTTTAAACTTTGAAATCTGGTAGGTTAGGAGTGAGTTGGATGAAAATTGGGGGTCAGTTTGATCAATTGGGTGCAAATTGGGGGTTTTGGGCCTTTAGGGTCATTTTCAGAAATTTATGCAGTTTTGGTGGAATTGGGCATAATTGAAGGCATTAGGTGATTCAAATTGATTCTTGGGATATTTAGAGTGAATTTGGAGACTAATAATTTTTGGAGTAACTAGAGATTTTGAAAAATTTAGCGGCAAAATTGGAATTTTGGTCAAAATTGGTCAATTTGGTCACATTCGATTCATTTAGTGGTTGAGATTGGTTTAATGGAGGTTCGAAATTATTTGGGAGGTTTTGGGAATTTTTGGGACATGAGATGTAATTTGTTAGTTTTTTGCAAATTTATGGGTATTTTGAGAATTTTGGGGAAATTGTGGTATTTTGATCAATTTGGGTAGTTTGAAATGATTTGTCAAGATTTTTGGAGATAATTTGAGGTTTTGAGCCACCTTTAAAAGTTTAGGGTTCCAATGGCATTTTGACAACTCTGATACATTTAGCCAAAATTGGGTATTTTAGATGGGATTAAGGTTTAAGGTAATTGGTCATGGGTCTTGAGTACACTTAAGAACATTGGAACGAAGTCTTGCCAAATGGAAACTCCTTCATGAACCTTCACATGTGTGTCCTAGCCATCTCAACCAAAAGTCAGAGGCTCGGGACCATTCATTTGAGTCTCCAAAAGAGCAAAGGGAAGAAGGCTCAATGAGTGTAGTTTCAGGGTTTTAGGATAAGTAAGAAATTGTGATGTGCTTGAGTGTGTGAGAGACCAAATCATAGCCACCCAGGGTTGTCCTAAGTCCAACTATCCCGTGGGAACTCATCTTTGAATCCTCACATGTTGGTCTCAACCTTCGAAGTGTTGGAGCTCCATGATCATCCATGCGGGTTACAAAGAGAGCAAGAAAGTGGTTTGAATTTCTATGTAGGTAAGCTTCATCTTTAGGTTTCTAGGAAAGTCAACGGAAAGTTCATATGGCTAGATCCTAAGCACTAAGAGGAATGAAAGACCACCAAAATTGGGGTCAACAAATGGACCCTCAATATTGGTGGTGTGCTAACTAAGCACACCACACGGATTTGTGTTGACTGAAGAGATCAACAAAGACAATACAAACGTTTCAAGCCAACACACTTACAACAAAATGCAGAAAGAGTGAAGAAGGTTACTGCTCGGAGTATTAGGTGACCTTCGATCAAGACCACAAATTCTGGAACTCTCGCTTGGAATTAACGGGTGAACTTTCAAATCGGCAAATTCCAAAAGGGGATTTGAAATTCATGCCACCATTTTGTGTTTGTTAACCCTTACAAAGGACTGTTTTATGAATTTATGGAAAAAACCACCAGGGAAATTGACGGTCAAGGTGAAAATTCAATTTGTTTTGTTTCATTATTTGGTTTTGATTTAAATTTAGTTGAAATTTTAGTTTCAATTTTAACTTCGATGAAATTTCGGGGATTAAGCATAAGCGAAGAGACCGGATCGAGACGAAAAGCACAGGGACTCACATCGGGCTCAAAAGATCGATCGAGAAAACGTTTACTACATTGAGAAGAAAAACACAGGGACTCACATTCGACCCAAGAGGTAGCGAAAGTATAAATCACATTAGGAAGAAAAGCACAGGGACTCACATTTAACCTGAGGTTCAAGTGGTGTTGAGATGAGAATAGGATGCTTTACTCCATTTAAGAGGGTCTCACACCTATTTTGAAGTGCAAAAATGAGAAAAAGATGTCTTACTCCATTTAAGATGGTCTCGCATCGATCTCGAAAATAAGATAATATGATGTCTTAATCCATTCAAGGTGGTCGTATACCTATCTCAAGATATGGGAATCAGAATTTTGGTACTGACCCAAATAAAATGAGAATCAGAAGTCTTACTCCATTTAAGTTGGCCTCACACCGATCTCGAAGAGATAAGAATCAGAATTTGGGTACTAACCCTGAGATAAGAATTGGAATTTGGGTACCAAACCAAAAATAATGAGAATCGGAACCCTTACTCCACTTATGATGGTCTTACACTGATCTCGAAGAGATGACAATATGATCTCTTACTCCATTTAAGGTGATCTTATACCTATATTGGAAATGTGGGAATCAAATTTTGGGTATTAACCCCGACATAAGAATTGAAATTTGAGTACCAATCCATGAATGAGAATCAAAATTTGCATACCGACCTCGAAAAAGAATAAAATCAAAATTTGGGTATTGTGCAAATGTTATGAACCGGGGTCCGTTCTTATTCACAACATGATGATACACTTCTTAAAGTGTCTTGTCCTATACTCGAGAAAAATTTGTGGAAACAAAAACTATCAAAAGGAATCTTTAATGTTGTGAACACTTCTGTAGATAGTTTTCAGGAGAAGACTTATGAGAAACATTATATTAAATCATTTGAAGAAAGATTGAGGAAATTAAAAGTTGATATCAAACGATTGTCAACACGAAGAAAAGATAATTCTTCGAATAGTCCAAACGAGTAATTTGCATAAATAAACATAGTAGAGACACGAGCTACTTCCTCAGCACGAGAACTACCTCCGTCAAGTGAAGAAAACATAACATAAGGATTAGAAACAGTTATTCGACAACGAGATGAGCAAATTAATCGCCTTGAACAAAAAATTGAAGAAATGATGACAGTTTTACAAAATCTATCACAAACAACTCTATTTGTCGTTGAAATCATCAAGCCTAAGACAATACATATTCTTGAAGGAAATGAGAGCCAATAGAAATTGATGAATGCACTCAAAAACAAAAACATTCAGCGCAAAGTGGAATCCCAGAAAAAAAAATTACACAGCTTGTGGAACAAAAAGTAAAAGAAACATTGGCTCAGGTTAGCGCCTGATCATTGACTCCAAAGGGTAGACCTTATCCATCAGAATTTGATTTTGTCCAATATCCTAAAGACTTCGTTCCACCCCTCTTTAAAATGCTTGATGGGACCGACAACCCTCGTCAACATCTAGCACATTTCAGAGCAAGCTGTTGCAACGCGGAGGGAAGCGATGCTCTTTTATTTCGTCAATTTGTTAACAGTCTTAGAGAAGTTGCTTTCAACTAGTATGCAAAAATTCCTAACGAGTCAGTAAAACTGCCTACCTTCAGGAGGAAGCTAAACAAATGAGTAAGATAGAAAAAACTGAGAAGACAAAGCTAGTTATGACATTTGAAAAGAAAACAGAAAATGACTCGACGGTGAAAAGGGCAAGCAAGTAATGCAAGTGTCATCCGAGGTAAAAGAAGCAACGATAGAGTATAAGTCAATCACAACCACAGTCACCTTCACAACTTTAACTTCAACAATCAACCTCATCACAGACAGACAAGAAATCAATATCCAAGAGAATGAACAAGGAATATCCATTCAAGACAGAGCTTGTCGCAAAGATATTCCACAGCTTGATGAAAATGTTTGAATTTAAATTACTTGAAGCTAAAAGACCGGAAAAAGTTGATATGAAAGATTGTCCCAAATATAAAAGACCGGAATGCTCAAACACAAGAACGAAAAATATTGTCTTTAAAGATTGGTTGGAACGTTAACTTCAAAGAATGGAATACAGTAATCCCGAAAGAACAACGGAAAGAGCCTGAAAAAGGGTATAAGTCAATATGATTTCGGCCGATGAACTTATTCCTAACAACCATTTCAACAATGAGGACAGAGAAAATATTGCTCGGAGCAAATCTCTTGTAGGTTCAACATCAACATCCTCTAAGAAAGAGAAGAAAAAGAAAAAGAAAGAATTAAAATGAGTACAATAAGTTGCTATTAGCTCTGAGATTTTTAATACAAACAATACTGAACTTCACCAAGTATAGAAACTCAAAAATTGTCAGAAAAACAATTGAACCAACGACTAACTAGTCATCTAAGATACATCAAATAAGCATGGACCATGGAAAATGAAAACGAATAATGTAGAATACATAATGATTATATTACGTAATGTATTTATATATGATTATCGGATTTTTTTTTTTTTCAGAGAAGAGGCTATTCAATCGCCGTAAGTCATTCTATGCAATGATTTATCAACTTTGTCTACACCAGAAAATCAATCTGCTAAAATGTACCTTCCTCAGAAAATCAACTATCTCAAAATGCTCAACTACGACCTAACTTTAGAGCGGGCTACCAAAAGAAACTCATATGCTACACTAAAAAAATCTTGTCGATTATAAGCTAATTCTTATCTTATAGAATATAGCCACATTTCCACTAGTTCTGATATGGACTTGGGGGCTTTTTTGTCTGTGAGTAGTCACTTATCGCTTGAGTCTTAGCCCCAATAATCATTCTTGCCTAACCTGGATTAGAACTCATCAAATTGATGTGACGAGAGAAAGAAAATTTAGCGTCAACCCAAACCCTTCAAAAAGTTCCATAAGAACGGCAATTTTGTTCAACACTGCCAGCTAGGGCAACAAACTCAAAGTATGAAGTGATTTGGAGCAAAAAAAAAGAAAAAAGTAAAATACATATCAATTTGCAACCTTCCAGTCGATTCTCAGAAAAAGGAAACTTTGATGAGAACTACATTATGTGTTCCTTCGAGCATACAAAAGAAGGCCATCTTTCTATTTGGAGCAAGCAGCTTTTCTATTTTTCATTCTTATCGACCTTTTCTTTCTTTGGATGGACAGCTTCTACAAGCGCCTCAATCTCTTCCTTAGCCCTCTCAAAAAGGTTCGGGCCTTTCACTTTGTCTATCGGTGTTTTCTCATCAATGTCATCACTAGTGCCATGCGTCTCATTATCGTGCGTTTTCTCCCTGTTCACTTCTCCATCTATCAAGTAACTCAATATTGCAGTAAAAACACTTTTATTTAGCTCAAATAAGAGAAAAAAGCAAAAGACATCAGGCAGTGATATGATTTAATTCTATTCAAAATTAACAACTAAATTTATAAGCAAGATAATCACGAGAAATCATATCAATTTAAAGGGAAAGAATTTTTTTTCTTGTCGCCCTCATAGAGAGATTATTCAGAGCACAGATACTGGAAAGAGGAACAAAGAATTCAAATCACTTCCGTTGTTCAGATCAAAAGGGCACATACTGAGAGAAAGGTGAAATCATAGAAGAATGAACGATAAGAAATCTTCGAAAGTTACCTTCTTTCCCCTGATCCATTCTCGAATTCTCGACGGGGATGTGAAGCTTGAAAGGAGGCTGCTGAGAAAAATAACTTGGACCGGTAGCGTAACTGTGTTGCAAGTGTCCCATTAATGGCGGGTTGTAAGGTAAAATAGCAGCCACGCGTTGCAATCATGCTTCATCAATAAACGTTAACGGCCATCTTCGATTCGTCTGGTGGATCCGCGGTGGATCTATTCTAGCGTGTTCTAGGGCTGGAATCCGGAGAAATTTACAGATATTCGGTTAAAATGTAATATTTTGTTATTATTCAAATTTTTTTTTTATAAAAAAATATATTTCCTCTATAGATTAACAAAGAGTAAAGTAAAATTTTAATAAAAAGATTAGAAAAAAATGCTTCAAAAAACTGAATCATAAGAAAAAAAAATCTACAAAACCTAACAATTATGCACAAATAAAGAGTCAAAACATTTTCAATAAAACTAGCCAACCACCAACAACTTCCAACAGAAACATCAACTTAGTTAAAAGAATAAATAGTTTGTGAAAATGCTTCAACAGTTAGCTTGCAATAGAACTTGTTGCAGGGATTCACAATATCACACACAAACAAGAACCAACAAAAGGCCTATAAAGCTTTGATGTTGCAACAACTTTCTAGAACCAACAAAATAAGAAGAACATTAAAGGACAAAAACTAAACAAATAACTATAAAAACTCCAAAATACATAATTTTTAGTCTTAGTAATGTAAAAAGGTAAGAAATCTCATGAGCTCATTTAATCCCACTAGAAAATGCTAAAGAACTCCATCCAGGAAATTAGGGATGTATACAAAGCAACCAAATGCTAATAGGTTATAAAATGCTCCAACTAAGCCGCCTCACAAGTAACCCAACTATCCAACTAAAAGGAAGGTATATATTCCTTGTTCAGTTGCATCTTATTAAAAGGATTCCATCTTGTATTAGAAAACATATTAAAGATTTAAATGTTTCTTTAAGATAGCCATAAAAGTGAAAACAAGCAACCAATAAAATCCTTAGATATGATTAAGCCCTATATCAATTTATGGGGAACGTCATTGCTAAGAACGCACCAAACCTCCCACTAACTAGGAAATCTAAGTTATGAAGTAAATGTAATAGGATGTAGAAAGCAAAAAAAAAAGCTAAATCTTGTAGAAGGTAGAATTGTAATTAGGAATATCATGCTTAAACTTTCACCTATTGCTCTTTTATTTGATATTAAATATTCATATTGATCACATTAGTCGAAGTAGAATTATTTGCAAAAAATTTACAATTTCTATTATGCCAAATCTGATAAGCAATAGTTTGAAAAGTCAAATTAAAGAGAAAAAAATACCTTTGAGTTTAGCAAGTAAGACTACCACCTAAAAGAACATCGAGGATAATACTAGGTGCAAGAAAAAAAAAACTCCATGGGCAAAAGAGCTTCTAATATGAGCATGAGCAAAAGAACACTTAAAAATTAGGTGAGTATGGGATTCAAGTTCATTATAGTGTTCATAGAAATAGTAATCATATTCCTCTCGCTATTATTATGGAAATGTTGACCTCACTTTCGGTTAAGGTCTAGTCTTTCTTCCATAGAAGCCTAGGACCTAGCCATAAGACTTTCCTTTTGACTATCCTAGAAGAGTAGTGATGGCACCCTCACCTTTAGAAATTTTAAACTCTTCTTTGATTATCTTGAAGTTCCACATGTTAGTTCTAATCTCTAGCACTTAGTAGGTGGGACCAATATGGGGGAGCTCAAGAGGAGCCCCCATAGGATTGTTTGGCCTTAGAGTTAATCCTATGTGGTGTGGTCTTGGTGAGGTCTACACATACACACTTGCACTTGCACTCACAACCTAAACCTTAACCCAAACATGCCTAGCTTGATCTCACTCTATTGGAAACTCATATGGATGGTCCCTTAAACCCTTAGCCCTGAGCTAAGGTTTGACAAAGACAAGCATATGGAAGATCCATAGTGGGAGTTCCCTTGGTCTCATGGCTCAAATAAGGTTACCTCATGATTAAAATTCTCAATCAATCCCAATTTTGCCAAATTCTTACTTTTGACACTTCTTGGCCCCAAACTTCACCAAATTACTAAATTGACCCCTAAACCCTAGATTATCCAAAATTCTCAAAATTACCCAAATTCTCAAAATCTCTTCAAAAATTATTTTTAACCATTCCAAATCACTCAAATTGACTAAAATACCTCAAATATTCCAAAATTCCCAAAATAGCCGCAAAATCCCCAAAAGTATCAAAATGTCCTTCCTACCCCAAAAATTCTAAAAATTCCCAAAATCACTCCAAATATCACCAAAATCAATTTGAACCACTACATTGTGCCCAATTCGACCAAATTGACCCTTATTAACCAAAATCCCCAAATTGCCCCTAAATGCCTAAATTCCCCAATTCACCCATAAATGCCTAAATTCTTCAATTCACCCCTAATTTCCATTCCCAAATTTCCCAAAATTCAATTATAAACTCAAATTCATTCTATTAAATCTTAATTGCCCAATTGAACCCAATTTCAAGCACAATTGCAAGTCTAAGCCAAAACCCCCAATTTTGACCAAAAGCCCAAATTCCATCAAATTAAACTTCCAAACTCCAAAATTTCCACTCAATTGATTCCAAAACTCTTCATGAAAATCTTTTAGACCAACTTAATACATCAATTGAACCATATCAAAACCCTAGACCAATCTAAACCCAAGTCTAACCCAAATGCCTCAAAATTGATCATGGGGCGAAATTCCACCAAATTGACCTTCCAAAATAATTCAAAATCACCCAATTCCATTTTCAAATGTTTCATGACAATCATCCAAGACAAATTGATTAATCACTTAAAACAAATCCTAATCCAAACCCAACCTAGACCTAAGTTGAAGCAAAATCCAAACTTTGGACCTAAACACCAAATTTGACCAAATTAACCTAAATTGACCGACCCGAATGCAGCACAGCCAACATCTCGACCCTAGGGACCAACCTAGGTCCACCAAGCCCAACCAAGTTGAGCCATAGACCAAGGGTCCCATAAATTAGGGGATTTCATCCCATTTTGGGCTGAACCAAAGATATCTTTTCCACCAGCCATCCCCAAGCCATCTTGTTCACCATTAATCTTCCTCTGGCTCACATAACTCCCCGAGCCACCAGCTTAGGCCTGGTTGGTCGTCCTAGTCGCTAAAGAACCCCAAAACCGAGAGCCAACCCATCTTAAACCAAGCCCATTACACCAATATAATGTATCCAGCTCCAATTAGATATTGGTGTCTCTCTGCCTTCCACAAAAGCAGTTGATTTCACCAGAATTGAACCACCTCAATCTCCTTTATTTAAAGCCCCCCTCATTGCCAAGGATAAAGATGATCCAATTTCCTGGGGAGACTCTGCAAAATTCTCACCAGAGCTTCTTCAAACTTCCCTAAGCTCATTTCAACCATCTTCCAGCCCTTTCCCCCACTGTCTGAGCCCAATTCCAGGGCATTTTTTATCATTCCACCAAACTCCACCAAACTCTAATTTGAAGTGCCCTTAGGCTTCACCAGAGCTTAAGGAGAAGTTTCCCACTGAAACCCCCCTATGTTGAGCACCCTAACCTAATCCTATACCAAGACCTCCCCACCTCTTGGAGAAAGTCTTGCTCAGAGCATTTTCTAGAGCCTACATCACTTCCAGAAGGTTCGTCTGTCACTCTAAAAACATCATTTCTATGCCCAACAAAGCTTATCTCACTATTTATTTGCACCCCCCCTTTAGACGACCACGAATGCTCTTTTCAAGGTAGAATGTGATACTTAAAAGTCAAGAAATCTTAGCCCTTTAGGGTTTATAAGTTCCTCAACATGTTTTAACAATACAAGTGGCCAAATTTTAAAGTAAATAAAGGACGGGTAAAAATATCATCACAATTTTTTGGAATAAAAGAAGTTCTAAACAAAGTCAAAAAAATCACTTAATTAATTACTTCATATTGCAAGGAGAAAGAAAAAAAAACTACTCACAAAGCATGGGGATAACAAAACAAAAAACATTTATAAAACTTCAATTCAAAGCACAAAACTTAACGAAAAAGATACAAATACTTATCTGGATAGTTCCCCCAAGCACTACTTTGAAGTTCACGGACTTTCCTGAATCCAATGGCACTTACAAGACTCACAAACTCCAAAAATAACAAAAACTCGCAAAGAAAACTTCCCACACACATAGCACACTCACAAATTATAAGAATCTCTAAATCTGACCCCCTAGCCCATTAGAAATAATCCATATTTATAGATCTTCAAAAATGACCAAGGGTTGCTTCAAACATCTCATCAAAATTTGGCCTTATTCAATGAATCTTCTAGAAAGTAATCGTGGCACCTAGGCGCCAGCCAAGTTCTGCATCTAGCGCCTAGGCGCCAAATCCTGTCCCCTAGGCATCAATTCAGTTGGGTTGGTACTTTTCCTCTATTTAGCCCATTTTTGCTCATTTTTTATGTATTTTTTGCTCATTTTTACTCTTAAACTCTTATTCTTATACTTGCAACCAAAAACATAAAAATTCATTTCATTAAAGCATAATATCCTAAACAATTTAGCATAAAATGTACATAAAAATAAGTAATTTTAAGGTGGATCAATTCCCCAAAACATAAACATTACTTATCCTCAAGTAACCTTTCTTACTATATATAAAAAGTATAAGTTATGGAAGTGAGTTTCACTCGAAGATTTCTATAGTTTTTGTTTTATAAATGCAATAGTGAAACTTTAGCAAAAAATTTTAATAACATAGGTTAAAACCAGAATGTAAGAATAATTAGTAGTCAAGTTTAAGAATTATGATTTCTTATTTATTTCAATAATAATTGTAGTTTGTCATATCAAAGAGATTTAGAAAAATTAAATGAAAGAGAATATCATGAGAACTTTACTAGTAAGGATGCTAATACTTCATAAATAAACTTAGAAATGTAATTAAGTTTCTTTTCTTAAAATGATTTAAGTGAATCCAATTTTTTATTTGGCATAGCAAGACTAAGCCTTTTAAACCAAAATTTCTAATTAATTTAACATCACACCTCATAATTATCATATGCACAACATCTT